ATTCATCCCAGATATTTAGTGCCTAATGTATTCCAGATATAGTTCTACATAATAGGGATAGAGCAGTGTATGAAACAAAGTACCTACCTTCATAGGACTTATTCTGAGGAGGTAGGAGGGGAGACAAATGATGTATTACTCAGATATAGTCTAAGTTATTATAACAAATAAGTCTTTTAAAACAGTGGCTTGAATAAGATACAAGTTTATTTATCTCTAGTGTAACAGTCCAGGGCTAACAAAGCAGTTCTGCCATCCTCATCACAGGGCTTCTGCCTCTGGGTCCAAAGTAGTTGCCCCAATTGCTGCCATCACATCTGCACCCCAGCCAGTGCAGAGGGTAAGAGGGCAGGGGCAACATATACATATTCTTTTTTAGGGCACAAACCAGAAGTAATATATACAATTTCCATTCACATCTCATTGGCCCCAAACTTTGAACAAACCCAGATGCAAGAGAAGCTGGTAAATTAGCCTTTAATTGAGAAGCCATGCGCCCAGAAAGCAGGGAGTTAAAGTATACAAGGAAAGATAATTTTTATGGATATCAGTCTCATTCAGAAATAAACAAGTAAATAAATACATTAGTATTCAGATGGTATATGGAGAAAAATTAAGAAAGTTATGAGAGGCCAGGCACAGTGGCTCACACCTATAATCCCAGCACTTTGGGAGGTCAAGGAGGGTGGATCACAAGGTCAGGAGATCGAGACCATCCTGACTAACACAGTGAAACCCCATCTCTACTAAAAATACAAAAAATTATCCAGGTCTGGTGGCAAACACCTGTAGTCCCAGCTACTTGGGAGCGGAGGTTGCAGTGAGCTGAGATTGCACCATTGCACTCCAGCCTGGGCAACAGAGTGAGACTCCGTCTCAGAAAAAAAAAAAAAGTTATGAGATAAGGAATACCAACAAGTGAGGAAAGAAGAGGAGGGGGCTTGTTATCTTACCTAAGATGTTCAGGGAAGACCTCAATGATAGTTGGTAAGGTAACTTCTGAGCAGAAGCTTACAATAAATTAGGAAGCCAGTCATGCAAGTATCTAGGGAAGAGCCTTTTGAGAAGAGGAAATAGCAAGTGCAAACATCCTGAGATAGAAGGGCCTTGATGTATTCAAGGAAGTACAAGGAGAAAATTATGATGAAATGGAGCAAACTAGGGAGTAGTAAGAGAGAAGGTCAGAGAAGTGAATGTGGGCCTTGATGCTGAAGCCATTGGAGGATTTTCTATTGGGGAGGAGTAAGGGAATGATATGATCCAATTTATGTTTCAAAAAAGTGTACTCTAGCTGCTTTGTGGGAAATACAGGAGGGAGAGAGCAGAATCAAGGAGGCCATTTAAAAAGCCACTGCAAATATTCGACATGTGGAAGCTTGGAGCAGGGAAACAGCGGTGAAGGTGGTGAGATGTGGTTAGATGCTGGACATATTTTGAGTCAAGAGGATTTTCTGATAAATTGCATATGGAAAATAAGAAAAAGCTTATTCACTCACCACTCTAATAGTCACACCAGTCTATAATCCCAGCACTTCGGGAAGCCAAGGCAGGTGGATCACTTGAGCCCAGGAGTTCAAGACCAACCTGGGCAACATAATGAGACCCCATCTCTACCAAAAAACTCTGAAAATTAGCCAGGCATGGTGGCATGCACCTGTAGTCCCAGCTACTCAGGAAGCTGAGATGGAATGATCACCTGAGCCTGGGAGGTCAAGGCTGCAATGAACTGTAATCATGCCACTGTACTCCAGACTGGGTGACAGAGCAAGGCCCTGTCTGGAAGAAAAAAAAAACGGGGGCAGGCATGGTGGTTCACACCTATAATCCCAGCACTTTGGGAGGCAGAGGCAGGCAGATCGCCTGAGATTGGGAGTTCGAGACCAGCCTGGCCACAATGTGAAACCCCATTTCTACAAAAATATAAAAATTAGCTGGGCATGATGGCTGCTATGTGTAATCCCAGCTACTCGGGGAGTTGAGGCAGGAGAATCACTTGAACCCGAGAGACAAAAAATGCAGTGAGCCAAGATTATGCCACTGTACTCCAGCCTGGGTGACAAAGTGAGATTCCATCTCAAAAAAAAGAAGAGGGAGAGAGAGAGAAAAGAAATAATAATCACACCCCAAGAAAAGATAGCCTCAAGAAAATCAAGCTACGACCATGGTGAACAACGCTCCAAGGGTTTTGTGATGCTGTAAGCTGAGTATGATGGGCATAAATTGTTTTGCACTCTGCAGGTAGGAAGGTGGGATAGCCAAAGCTGTTCAATATAATATTAAAAAATAAAATATCGATTGAAGTAAAATAAAAGTTTTCTTAAGAGATATATTAAAGTAAATGGAAATGTTACAACCTGGATGAGGGGTAAGGAATTAATAACCTCTAATCACAGAATAAAAATGGAATGATTGAGAATTCCATCTACCCAAATCAGACAACTAAAAAGTTGAAAGAGGTTACAGTAAAAATTGGGTAAAACTAAATCTTAAAAAAAAAAAAAAAAAAATTCCAGAGGATACGTGATATACTCGTCACAAAGAAAATTCCAGTTGAATCTTATGGACTTGAGGAATGGATACCTTTGTGTCTCCATCACTTAGCACAATAACTGGTACCATGTAAGTTCTCACAGAATTTTCCTGAACTCTCCAACCAGAGGCAACCTTTCACTCTCAATTCACATAACATTTCCTTCTTACTCCTCTTTTGGGAATAACACATCTTGCTTTAATTGTATTTAACTTTATGCCAGTTTAATTCTCTCTTTTAGATTCATTTACATCTTTGTATCCTCTAGCTCATTTTTTCAAAATAAAATGGATTCAAATAAAAAATTATTAAAGAGGTAAAGTAAAAGAAAATATTACAACCTGGCTGAGGGGCAAAAATTATATGTTCAATGTATATTTGATAATACATACTGAGAAAACACAGCCTACTTTTACTTTTCAAAAGTTTGTTCATGTTGACATTGTGGGACCTAGAAGATTTTTATCAAGTTTTCTATTTTTGCCAAGTCATATGATCTGTTACAGTTCAGCTAGAGTTAACCAAATGTAGGGAAAAAAACCAAAAAACTTCCGTAGTATCTAGTAATTCTCCAAAACAAGCTTGTTCCTTCCTTGTTGAACACTGACATTCTTTGATAACTCTAACTTTATCCCACAGAGGTCATGTACTTATTTCCCATATGTTGTCCTATGCTTAAATTCCAAATTCAGTTGCATTGACTTTTAGAACAGCTTTAGGAACTGCACCTAGTTTTAAAATACATTATTTGTCTACAAATTATGACAAAAGATTAAACTGTCATCTTTGTAGGTTTCTATACATACTCCAACTCATTCACTAATCCTTGAAAAGATTATGTAACCAATCTCAATGCCCTGACCCAGGTCAAGCCCATTTCTACATGTGCAGTGTTCTCTGGATCTGATATTTAAAGCCCCTTATCCTGATACTACATACCTTTTTTGTCTTCTGGAATGTACCTCTCTTCTCATCCTTTTTCAAGGCACTAGAAAAGCAGACCATTTCTCCAGCACCTCAAACCACGGTGAGAAAGCTCCACTCGAATCTCATCATTTTGGCTACGTAGATACATTGGCTCAAGGGAAGATGCCAAGTGTAGTACTCTACCATTCTGAGGATTTTTGAATTTGTAACAGTTGTGTCAACTGGGCCAATAATTATGAAGAGCAATAATCAAGAGTATCCATGCTGGCCGGGCGCAGTGGCTCACGCCTGTAATCCCAGCACTTTGGGAGGATGAGGTGGGCAGATCATGACCGCGGTCAGGAGATCAGGACCATCCTGGCTAACATAGTGAAACCCCGTCTCTACTAAAAATACAAAAGCAAAATTAGCCGGGCATGGTGGTGGGCACCTGTAGTCCCAGATACTCGGGAGGCTGAGGCGGGAGAATGGCGTGAACCCAGGAGGCAGAGCTTGCAGTGAGCTGAGATCATCCACTGCGCTGCACTCCAGCTGGGGCGACAGAGTGAGACTCCATCTTAAAAAAAAAAAAAAAAGATATCCATGCTAAAGACGAAAAAAAGTTAGAAAAAAGGTAGAGAAAAATATTTGCTGGAGTATTTGAACGCACCACTCTCAGATCAATTTTCTAGTGTTCTGTTGACTGAGCAACCAGTCAACACACTTTCACTGAGAAGCTATTTTATAGTAGGCATTGGGATAGCCTTTGTGGACTACCAAGAAGCATATGTCTCTAACAGAAGACAAGAAAATGTAAAAACAAGAAAAAGAAATTGAGGAATAAGAGTACAGTTTACAAAGCTACACAATTGTTCATTGTGCAAAGAGTGAGGCCTTAAGAAAAGACTTCCCTGTGAACTACAATGAGATGAAAAGGTTTCTCAGAGTGAGATTTGAACAAGAGTTTAAAGAACTGACAGACAGATAATAAGTTTCAGGTAGTCTAGAGGACTGAGTACTAAAACTCAGAACAATGTAACAAAAGCACAGAAGAGAAAGTTAGGATGTTTTACATGACAGTATAACATTTAGGCTAAGCTGGAGGACTTGGGAGAACAAGTGAAGAAGGTAAGTTTTGGCTAGATAAAAAATAGGTGGCCTTTAGTTTCAGGATGAGGATTTGGAAGTTAATCTTTTGGTCAATGGGTAATAAATGATGGTATTTGTGTAGTTGAGCCAGTTGACAATGCTTTAACTACTTCAAAAGGCCCTGAAAGATATGGTCCTTATCCATAGGAAAAAATGAACTCCTGACTTCAGGACCCTAAGCTAGGAGGAGATTGGATAGACTCTCTTATGGCCCAACTGTATAGAAAATAGACCACTTCGGCCATCTCGCTTATTGAGTAACCTTTCCTACCAGAAAATGCGCTATGTATTATTTCTTTTCTTTCAGTGGAAATTTTGGATTCTCAGTTATCTTTCCCTGACCTCTTGTCTGGTGATCAGAAAAAGATGACTAAACTGGGAATCTTAATTTTCTAGTGGAAAAAAATCATGTATACCACATTTTATATAACTTTTAATTGCGTGTAAATTTGAACTCCAACATCATAAAAATTATTAGTAAAATTCATTTTAAGCACAAAGTTGTTAATTCCCCCAAGATTTATCAAGAATGGCTTAATTTCAAAGGCTGTCAAGTTAATTATAAACTAAGATTTTCCAGTTGCACCAAGGGTATATTTTATTTGGCAAAAGCAGCATCCACTGGCTTTTGTCAGGATGAGTCTTGAGTTATACAAGTTTTGAACTGAGAGGTCTTCAGAAATTCATCCCACATATTAACTGTGGCCTTCTCTACACCACAAATTCCCCTCCACTCATCCTCAAATTGTTTCCTTTCTCAGAACATCTGTGACACAAAGACTGTGACACACCCACAGGTCGATTAACCTGAGTACCCAACACCTATTAAAACATCCACACTCCTGAGAACACTAAAAACCAACCACCTCCTCAGGTCCCACCTCCAGTCTAGCTGAATCAGGAAACCTCAGGATAAGCACCTGGAAGAGGGTTTAACAAGCGCAAAGGTGATTCTTATAATTGGGAAAGTTTGTTACAGAACCAAGACACGGTCCTTGCCCTGGAGGAGGTATTTTCTTGTGGAGAAGGACCTGTAAACAGCCTATGAAGTGCTCAGCTTTCACCAAGAACAAAAACATGGACTGGTAGGGTTAAGGAAAAGTTTGATTGATATGAGGATTAAATCCTGAAGATTAGGGATGTCTTTGGGCACTGGGGTCTCTCAATCGCCAAAGATCGACATTATAGGCTAGGTAGCTTTGTCCCCCCAGACTGTCCTCTGCCTTATGCTTAGCACTCCCGGCCTCTGCCCATTGGATACTTGTAGCACCCCACCTGACAACCCAAAACATCTATAGATATTGCCAAATACTCCATAGGGGGTGGGGGCGGTGGCAATATATCTCCCTGATTGAAGTCACTGGAATGGAAGTTAGGGGAGGATGGCTAAGTCAGGACCTGCAAAAAGGCTAAGGGACGAAAGCACATGGCTATATTCGACAAAGTTTGTGACAGACGCCTCTAGGTATATGGTTAAACAGATTAAAACACTAAGAAATAGAAAGAGGTTAGACTGAGGGTTTCTCATCTGTATAGGAAATCTCATCTCGTTCATTACTTTCAGAAACGAAAAGGAAAACGACTTTGGAGATACAGGTTAAAGGTTGAAGGGGTGGGAAACCACCCCGCGCCTCCCTCCCTCCCTCCCTCCAAAACATCCCAGAACGACAGTCAAACCTTTCTAATCTCTTCGTACAGGTAACTAGCAACTCAGTAAGACTGGGCGAGGATGACTGAGAGCCAACTCATTACAGGATTACAGGAAACTCCTTAGTCCTAAACCCGAATGCATCCGTGACCATGGTCACAATCCCCACCTGACCAAAAGCTATCCAACGCTCTGGCAAGTGTTTACAGCTGCTATCTCGATTACTGAAGTGGCTCTGAAAAGAGCCTTTGGGGTAAGGTGGTTGATCTATTGCGTCCCTTGCACACCCTTACTTCGAGCTGGTGTACTTGGTGACCGCCTTGGTGCCCTCGGACACGGCGTGCTTGGCCAGCTCGCCGGGCAGCAGCAGGCGCACGGCCGTCTGGATCTCGCGGGACGTGATGGTGGAGCGCTTGTTGTAGTGCGCCAGGCGGGACGCCTCTCCCGCGATGCGCTCGAAGATGTCGTTGACGAAGGAGTTCATGATGCCCATAGCCTTGGACGAGATGCCGGTGTCGGGGTGAACCTGCTTCAGCACCTTGTACACGTAAACGGAGTAGCTCTCCTTGCGGCTGCGCTTGCGCTTCTTTCCGTCCTTCTTCTGCACTTTCGTAACAGCCTTTTTGGAGCCCTTCTTGGGAGCAGGAGCGGATTTTGCTGGATCCGGCATTTTTGCGCGAAAAATGCAACAGAGACTGAAAGAAGCAATTCCCGACTACCACAAAACGGCCTGGTTACGCGCTACTTATAGAGCTTGTATGCAAATGAGGACTCACAAAGTGCTGCGTTTTTATTGGTTAACTTACAATGGTGTCGTCAGAGGGGGCGGAGTCTACGTAAATAATAGATTCTGGTCGTGCTTCCTTAGTGGTCACTGGAACAAAAGTCTTGTTATCCAATCAGAATGGTCCATTTCACAGTAGCCAGTTTTAAGCTAGGTGAAGCGATAGTTTCAACGGCTAGGGGTTTTTTCTTGGTTTTCACTTTCCATCAGAGACTTGCATACGGAAGAAATCTTAACGCCAGCTAGACAAGTTAACTCTTCCCTTGTTTTTGCATTTTTATTCTATACTTTGTGGAAATTTTGTTCTCTTCCTTGAAATAATACCTCAGCCCATATATTTTTAAAAATCGCCAGGTATTTACTCCCGCCCGCTTAAATTACTATTCTGGCTTGGGCACCGCCTGTAGTATGCAATGAGGAAGATGCTGAGCTTTAATTAAACATACACTTCTTAAATAAACCAGGAAACGGGTTTATAATTTTTAAGGGACTCGCCCCACCCTTACACTTAGAATCTTCCACATCTCGAAACTCCCCACATTGTCTCTTGCCGCCATGCAAAACTTGACCCACAGAATTGGGAGCCAGAGCTCTGGCCTTAAACCAGCGTGAAAAGGAAGGCTCGGCCGGAACCACAAGGACCATGCCTCTGTGGCTTTTTCTGCCGCCAGCCAACTCGCGGCTGGGCTTTGGGTTCTGTAACGTCACCCACCACTACGAGTGCCCCTGGCCCCTGACCGGTGCGCAAGGCAGACGCACGCCAGATGGAGAGCCGGTACAGCTGCTCTTGATGAAAACGGTAGTGGCTCTGAAAAGAGCCTTTAGATCGACCACTTAAAAATGCCTTAGGCCCGCTCCCCGCGGATGCGGCGGGCCAACTGGATGTCCTTGGGCATGATGGTCACGCGCTTGGCATGGATGGCGCACAGGTTCGTGTCTTCGAACAGCCCCACCAGGTAGGCCTCGCTGGCCTCCTGCAGCGCCATCACCGCAGAACTCTGGAAGCGCAGGTCCGTCTTAAAGTCCTGCGCGATCTCGCGTACCAGCCGCTGGAAAGGGAGCTTGCGGATCAGCAGCTCCGTGGACTTCTGGTAGCGCCGGATCTCCCGCAGGGCCACGGTGCCGGGCCGGTAGCGGTGCGGCTTCTTCACCCCGCCCGTGGCCGGCGCGCTCTTGCGGGCAGCTTTGGTGGCCAGCTGCTTCCTCGGGGCCTTGCCGCCGGTCGACTTGCGAGCAGTCTGCTTAGTACGGGCCATGCTGTATCATTGTTACGAGAGGGGCCAGGCAGTCTTATTTATAGACATAGCTTCGTCTTGATTGGGCATGAAAAGGAAATTTTCAAACTTGTTATCTCATTGGTTAAAATTCAATCCTATTTACCGGGGTGGAAGATTGTTCTGCTAATCTTTCTTTCCTTATTATTTCCCCCTTTCCCGATTCTTTTCTACAATTTTATCGATCACGGGTTGTTTTTGAAACGTTTCCTTTAAATTGGTGTAACTTTTGTAAAAGCAATGTGTAAAGCGTTTTGCATCCCATTTTAACAGATTTTTTTTTTCTCAGAATTCAAGTATGGCCTTCTATGAGCTAGCAGCCTATGTTTCAGGTTACCTGTTACTGTAGCTCTTCTACCATAGCTAACATTTATTTCGCGTCTGGCATTTTGCTCAGCAAGTTAGATGCATTATGTACCATGAATGACCAAAGCTTAGCAAAAAAAAAATATGTAACTGAAGGAATGAAGAGATTGAACTTATTTATTTGACCTCCCAACCCAGCCAAAGCCACTTCATCTGGGTAGTGTGCTGACCTATATTGACCTGATATTAGAGTCTCTGCCTTCCTTTAGTCTTTTCTGCCTGCGATGTGGTTCCCTCTTCCTCATCCTCACATCAATGACCAGTTAGGTCTTACAGATGATAAACTTCTAAATCAAAGAAGGACAACACCAGAAATATTCATTTCTCCTTTACAATGTAGAATAGTTTGTAAATAAGTGCTTATTAGCCAGATTACAAGTTAAAGTTTCAAAGCAAATTATTCATCAATTGCTGACTTGCAAACATTTTATTCAGTAAAGTGTTTTATAATGCTTAAAAGTTTAATATTTTTTTCTGTTCTCTATGAAGAGAGTAAAGATGCTTTGCTTTTTCAATTTCATGTGCTTTGAAGTATGTATTGTTCAGAACAGTAAATATCATAATGGTTATATAGAAGTAACTGATAGTTAAAAGTTTTAGTAGTTAATATAAAACTTTTAATCATATGCTTATTTTACTTCAGAATCATTACAAGCTATAAAAACTCAAACCTGAGAAAAGCAGGCCCGAAAAGCTTAAAACTTACTTTGATGGTGTCATTATGAACTATCTTCCTACTGAAGTAAAAGTAAAGTAAAAGTGATTTTAAGGGGACTTCCTGAACACTAAACACAATGTAGAAGTCTGTTAGCTTAATTAATATCTTCAAGAGTCTCTCATGGGCAAAAGCATCTTCCTCTCGAGAGATCTAAAATGTACAAAAGTGTAACTGATGTGAACAAATGTTATTGCTCTCTGTGGTAGTTTTGTAATAATGCCTTACAGACAGCAGGTACTACTCAGTGTTTAAAGTTCTTCTGCATACACTTTATCATTTAATCCCTACTCTGTGAAATAGATGTTACTTTTCTCACTTTACAGATAAGAAAACTGAGTCTCAGAGAAATTATGGCTTGTCCTGGGTAAGTAACAAAGCCTATGTAATATTCTAAAGCAAAAGAATGAAACTGTAATGATGAAACTTTCTATTTCATTAGGCTTAGAGGATACCTTTTTTTTTTTTTTCTTTTGAGACAAAGTCTCACTCTGTCACCCAGGCTGGAGTACAGTGGTGGGATCTCTGCTCACTGCAACCTCTGCCTCCTGGGTTCAAGCGATTCTCCTGTCTCAGCCTCCTGAATAGCTGGGACTACAGGCGCAAGCCAACACCCCCAGCTTGCTTATTTATTTATTTATTTATTTATTTATTTTATTTTTTATTTTTTTAGTAGAGACAGGGTTTCACCATATTGGTCAGGCTGGTCTCAAACTCCTGACCTCAGGTGATCCACCCTCCTCAGCCTCCCAAATTGCTTGGGTTACAGGTGTGAGCCCCACGTACCCAGCCAGTACATTTTAAAGCACAAAAGCATTTTCCCATCATGCAATCACACCATCTAGTATTTCTCAAACATCTACACCCAACTATTCCCATCAGAAGGGAACACTACCCCATGGAATCTGGATAATAGCCCAAAACAGCCCACCGAAGCATCCCATTTCTTTGCAATATACTTTCTCTATGATGTATGCACTCTTGACCATAATGTATAGATGTGTTCATTTAAATAAGAAAAGGGCATTCAATCAGAAGAGTAAACTTCTAATGGCTATAGGTATCATTTCTCAGAATAAAACAATCAGATGTATAGTTGCCTTAGAAGTCATCTTTAAGAACAGAATTCAGGTCAATTGTTAGTTCAATTTCACCTAGTCCCCACATTGGACACCAGAGTGACATTTCTCTGAAAGGTCTCAATCCACCACTATATCAGAAGCAGCTTTATGGTGCAAAAGAAGCTCTGCTTTTCTGGAGTTGTAACATAGAGGGAATATTCCTCTTAAAATTTTTGAACTGTCCTTCAGCAGAAATTATAAGGGTGTGCAGCTTGAATACTGAGAACTGGAATTTCATTAGGTAGCACGGGGGAATAGACAAGAGAAGATTAAAATTTACCTAACAAGAAATAAACAGGCAAAAGAAAATATTAATAAATGAATTATTAGGCACATAATATTTTGTATGTATATGTGTTTACTTTTAATACAAAAGTAACGGACTAAGTTAAGATAGATGTTCCAATAAGATAGTTTGTGTTTCATTTTTGGCTTCAAGTACCCTCAGGGTTATAAGTATCATAAGCTGAGACCAGCTGAATTGTTGTTTTGTGGGTTGGTGAGGCCCTGTGCCTGATTTGATTTTTCTCTTGAATGGTCTGCAGCCCTGGCCCAAGTTGAAGAAGACTTGAGAGTGTCAGCTTTTTTCCTTACCCCATTATAAGTTAAACGCATTCCTTAAATATCCTGCTCATTTGATAAAACTTGGCACAGCACCCTTCTCCCTTCTACTGGTCCCTAATACTACCTGTACTCTACAACTCAAATTTTTTACAATTTCTGCCTTTATTATCTAACATATTCCACTGGAATATGTGTTACAGGAAAGGGGTCCCGATCCAGACCCCTAGAGAGGGTTATTTGATATCCGGCAAGAAGGAATTCAGGACCAGTCCATAAAGTGAAAGCAAGTTTATTAGGAAAGTAAAGGAATAAAAGAATGCTACTCCGTAGAGAGAACAACCCTGAGGGCTGCTGGTTGCCCATTTTTATGGTTATTTCTTGATTATATGCTAAACAGGGGTGGGGTGGTGGGCCACGCCTTTAATCCCAGCTACTCCGGAGGCTGAGACAAGATCACTTGAACCCGGGAGGCAGAGGTGGCAGTGAGCTGACATCGCACCACTGCACTCCAGCCAGGACCACAGAGCGAGAATCCGTCCCCCGCACCCCGCCACCCGCAAAAAATCACTGCCAGTAAGGAACAAACAGCCAAGACGAAGAAGTACTGAGATGTAAAGAGATGTAAAACAGGCCGGGTGCGGTGGCTCACGCCTGTAATCCCAGCAATTTGGGAGGCCGAGGCGAGCGGATTACGAGGTCAGGAAATCGAGACCATCCTGGCTAACACGGTGAAATCCCGTCTCTACTAAAAATATAAAAGAAAAGAAACTAGCCGGACGTGGTGGCAGGTGCCTGTAGTTCCAGCTACTTGGGAGGCTGAGGCAGGAGAATGGCGTGAACCCGGGAGGCGGAGCTTGAAGTGAGCCGAGATCTCGCCACTGCACTCCAGCCTGGGTGACAGTATGAGACTCCGTCTCAAAAAAAAACAAAAAAAAGATGTAAAATAATGTGATACATTCTGCGAGAGTTACTAGAGAGTTAGAAAAGGGCAAGAGTGTTTCTTCTCTGCCCTGAAGCAGCCAAGGGAGAAGAAGATATCTGTTGCCAACGCTGGGGTGTTACAGGTGCACACTGCCATGCCCGGCTAATTTTTTGTATTTTAGTAGACACAAGGTTTCACGATGTTGCCCAGGCTGGTCTCAAACTCCTGAGCTCAGGCAATCCACCCACCTCGCCTCACAAAGTGCTAGGATTACAGGCGTGAGCCACCACGCCCGAGCCTATATATGTATATTTTTCTAACACATACTTTCTTGGTGCCAACAATGTTTTAAACACTTTACATTATTAACTCATTTTATCTTCACAAACCCTATCAAGTAAGTTAGTATAAGTATGTCCATTTACAGATTAGGACATGGAGGAATCACAGAGAGGTTAGAGAAACTTTCTCATAGTCACTTGTTGATTGCCAAACCAGGTTTCAACTCCAAGTCTCCCACTAGTCACTATTCCAACACTACTAATATCAAAGAAGTAGGATGTTGATGCAGCATTTATAGTAATTTAAAAGATTAGAAATAACCAACAGCCGGGGTATAGTGGCCCATGCTTGTAATTCCAGTAGCCAGGACCCCCAGGTAGGCAAGTTGGTTGGGAGCTGGAGACCAGCCTGAGGACCTGTAAAACCCTGTTTCTACAAAAAATATAAAAATTAGCTGGACGTGGTGGTGCGTGCACTTGTAGTCCGAGCTACTTGGGAGGCTGAGGTGGGAGGATTGCTGGAGACTGGGAGATCGAGGCTACAGGCTGCAGTGAGTTATGATCACACCACTGCACTCCAGCCTATAGGCGACAGAACCCAAAAAACAAACAAAACAACCTCTGACAATGTAGAAATGCTGAAATGAATATTAATTCTAGTAAGAAACTCAACCTATCCCAATTAGCCCAAGACCACTACTTAGTCTACCTAAGCCAAGTTTGTTGACTTGTTTCAATGAGGGAGAACACACAACAGAGAAACTGGTGGCAGGGTGATGGGAGGAGGGTGCTCACCAAACAAGAGGAAAATTGGACTTATCATTGATTTTGGGAGAAGAGGGAGTGTAGTTTTCATAGGTTCAAAGCAGAAAACAGGAGCTGTGTGAAAGAAGGGTAGGCATAGAATCTGGGACTTTGAAGTGGATCCAGGGTCTTGTTTCCTTGGAAACTAGGAAGTTGAGATAGAGGTGGAATGCTGTGTTCAGAAATCCCTTACTTGAAGTTTTGCACCTGGGTTGA